CTCCACAATGAACTGAAGTCAAAAAACTGTGTGTGAATCCAAATCCAAAAGATACTTGTCTGCCACAAACACCATCAGTCCAGATTTTTTAAAGCTCCATCATCATTACTACCCAAAAAGACCCCAAGACTCATCCAATCATGAACACTACACATCACAAACTCCAGGGTTAATTCTGTAAATTCCAGCACCACCTCTCTTTTCATTCTTGTCCGCAGGTGGCAGCTTTTCTTCATATAATCCCAAATTTCGAAGACCACCAAAAGAGAACAAAGCAAATAAAAAATCTCAAAATCAAATCACGCAAAATCTCACTTTTTTTTTTCTCACGCACACAACACACGCACAGCTTCACCTTTGTAGCACAGAAAAAAGTGATTTTATAACCTTCACAGCAAACTCCAAACATGCTATTGAACTTGCTTGCTCAGTCAGAATCAAAATGTCAATGGCCTTAGCCCTCAAACCCATTCTCGCTCTCCTCTTCTCATCGGTATTTATTACAAAATCCGCGAGCCTATTTGGAGATTCTGCAGTTTTTCCCAAGAAAACCCCAAATTCAACTGAGCCCAGCTCAGAAGGGAGCATAAAGGTGGAGTCTTTCGGAATATCCCAGGTTGTACTCAGAGGAAACACCTCCATCACAAGTCCAAACGGCACTTTCAAGCTCGGATTTTTCGCCCCTAATGACGAGTACAGCTGGTACTTGGGCATCTGGTACGCTCGTATCCCAATCCCTACTTACATTTGGGTCGCAAACCGTGAAAAGGCCGTCAAGAATCTGTTGTCAGCTAGTGCCGAGATAACTGAAACTGGTAGACTAGCCGTAACGGACCAAGAATCAAGAACCCTGTTGTGGGAGACGAACAATGTCGAGAGAGCGAAGGGTTTAAGCCTGTTAGAGGAAGGGAACCTAGTTCTCTTGTCTGCTGACGGTAGAATCGTGTGGCAGAGCTTTGATTTCCCAGCTGACACGTCACTTCCCGGGATGAACTTGACCGCCGGCACGATTCTCAATTCATGGAGGAGCTCGATTGATCCAAGCCCTGGACGGTATTTTCTTAGGTTAAACCCTCCCGATTATGGTGAAATCGCGCTTTACTTTAGTAATTCTAGTGTTGGTATGGATAATCTGTACACGTATTGGACCACCGGTAACTGGAGTGGAAGTGCATTTGCTGGTGTGCCTGAAATGACTATTCCCTACATATACAAGTTCAATTTTGTCGAGCCCTTTACTCCCATGGCAACTTTCATGTATAATGAGGTGCCTTTGGAAGTCGACACGGAGCCCCCTTTGACAAGGTTCGTCTTGGACCATACGGGCCGGCTCAAACAGTTCACTTGGTCCCAACAGAGCGGGGGCTGGAACATATTCTGGGCCCAGCCCGAGAATATGTGCAAAGTGTACGGTTTGTGTGGGAACTTGGGAATGTGCAATGGGAACCAATTGAGCCCGTGCCAGTGCTTGAACGGTTTTAGCCCATCAGACAATGTTTCTTGGTTCAAGGATGATTTTTCTCAGGGCTGCCGGCGAACAAGCCGTGAATCCTGCAGCGAGCACGACAAATTTGAAGAAATCGGTAATGTGAGCCACGAGAGAACGGCTGTCGTGTCGTTTAGCGGGACGTGGGCCGAGTGTGAGAGCACGTGTTTAAAAAACTGCTCCTGCATAGGTCTGTACCACGACGAGAAAAGTAACTCGTGCAGGAATCTTTACGGCCCGCTCTTGAATTTGCTTAATGTCACTTCGGATAGCACGATAAAAGATACATTATATTTGAGAGTTCAACCAAACGGCACCAGGAAAAAAAGTAGTAACGCGAAAATGATTCTCTTGATCGGAATAATATGTAGTGTTCTTGCGATTCTCTGCATCGGAGTTATGAATTTGTATGTTTGTAGGAGGAGGAAAAGGAGGGCTCGACTGACGAGGGGTGAGGATAACGATAACACTATTCAGGTTTCCAACCTGAGGCTATTCTCGTACAAAGAGCTCCACTCGGCCACTAAGGGATTCTCAGAGAAGCTCGGTCACGGCGGGTTCGGGTCAGTCTTCAAGGGCGAGCTGGCGGACTCGTCGGCAGTGGCTGTCAAACGGCTCGAGCGGCCCGGAGGAGGTGAGAAGGAGTTCCGAGCTGAGGTCTGCACTATCGGCAGAATCCAACACGTGAACCTTGTTCGACTGCGCGGCTTCTGCTGCGAAGGTTTCCATCGACTCCTTGTATACGACTTCATGCCAAAAGGAGCCCTCAGCTCGTACCTCAGAAGGAGCAATGGTAATACAAACGGGCCCGACTGCCCGAACCTGAGCTGGGAGGCTCGGTTCCGTGTTGCCATAGGGACTGCACGAGGGATTGCTTACCTGCATGAAGAGTGCAGGAGCTGTATTATACACTGCGATATTAAACCGGAGAATATTTTACTCGACGAGGGGTTCGCGGCTCGGGTCTCGGATTTCGGGCTGGCGAAGCTCGTGGGTCGGGACTTGAGCCGAGTAGTGGCAACTATGAGAGGTACATGGGGTTACGTGGCGCCCGAGTGGATCTCGGGAGTGGCCATCACGACAAAAGCTGACGTGTACAGTTACGGGATGACGCTTTTGGAGCTAATTGGAGGGCGGCGGAATGTTCCTCCGCCCGCCGGAGGGGAGAATAATAATAATGCGTCCCCAGAGGAAGGAGGGAGGTGGTTTTATCCTCCGTGGGCAGCGCGGAGGATTGTAGAGGGTGACGTGGCGGCGGTGGTGGACGAGAAGCTTTCGGGGGAGTATAACGTTGCTGAGGCGGCTCGGCTGGGGCTGACGGCCGTGTGGTGCATACAGGACGAGGAAGGGGAAAGGCCGGCCATGGGGACGGTGGTGAAGATGCTCGAAGGGGTGGTGGAGGTGGCGGTGCCGCCACTGCCGAAGCTGCTCCAGGCGCTCGTCTCCGGCGAGTCGTTCCGAGGGGTGGTGG